AATGCCAATGATGCTCAGTGTCTTCCCAATACACTAATAGGCAATGGGATATTTATAGAATATATTGTACAGTCTCAATTGCTGTGTAATGTAATTTTTAACACTTTTTTTTACCCATCCATGTTTACCTTTGTTTGTTGCAGATTTAAGTATCTCAGGCCTCTATAGGCAAATCTGACATTAAGGTTGTAATTTCACATGCACCAGCTATGAACTGCTATGACCCCACGATTAAAGAAGGTCTTTGATGCATTTGTGTTTTGCTAGACCACCGCTGTGCAGAACAGGAAACAAATCTGTTTTTATTGATAAAACCAAACCCAGGCTCTTGGGAGTGTCCGGATTGCGTGTGCATGTTCGGTTTTTCTGAGAAGTTCCTGCAAACACGCAAATTGGGCCAAACAGGTAGATGCTGTACCACGTTTACTATTGACGCATTTCCGCTCACAGTCTGAGCTCCTTATCTTTGTACATTGTGAATACCATTTTTGAACGATGTGGTCAAATGAGGTCAGTTTAAGAAATAGAGTCAGGGTCAGGGATAACTCAACCTTGTTTTTCGAAGTAGGTGTCAAAAAATGAAAACAGCAAGAAGCATTGATCTGTCAGTTTGAAGTTGATTATAGTTTGCTTTTCAGGATGCAGACTTATTACAAAGTTGCATTATCCACTGGTAATTCAACAAACAGTTGGACGTTTTATTGAAAAAGGCTTATTTTCTATCTGCCAAGAGTTGGATGAGAACATGAGTGTGGTGGTCTAATGGCCACCACAGCCGACCTTCCGGCTGAAGGTCGGAAGGTTGTGAGTTCAAATCCCGCCAGGAACACCACCACTAGTGTGCCCTTGAGTAAGGCACTTAGCCCTTAGTTACTCCAGGGAGAATGTCCCTGTAATTGGTCATTGTAAGTCGCTTTGGATAAAAGCATCAGCTAAATGTAACATTGATACAAGTCTCATGTCAGTACTGACATGAGACTTGTATACTTTTTTAAATATGTACCGTACGGTACATATTTAAAAAAGTAAACGTAAAGCTACAGTAGCTGGTTAGCTTAGCTAAACACAAGACTGAAAACAGGAAAAAAAGGTAGCCTGGCCATGTCCAAATGTTATTTTTGTATCCAGGTTAAGATTTCTGACATGGTAGAGACATGGCTGTTGACTTTTTCTAAGTATTTTTGATGCTAGAGCAGAGCAAGCGATGCACCATCTAATTCCATTTTATCAGAGAGGCAGATCCTGTATATCTTTGGTGAATATCTCCAACACGTTCACCCATTTGAGGCTGAGTATTCCATACACATTGTGTTTATTTTTTATGAGCCTGCATGCCTGTATTATTCCATTAGTAATTTATGCGTCATAACTAATTCAAATAATTGTGGATTAAATGCTTTCACCACTCACATCGATGCCATACCTACTGACATGCCTGAGGAGGTAATGAAAACACATGACCTCAAACGATCACTACATGAGTATTTGGCATGTTTACACTTTTCAGTTGTTCAACCGGCTTTCACGTCAGGTAAAAGTTATTTTTTTGTATTAATCTTTGAAGATGTATTATCAATATTACTTAATAATAATAAAGTGGTAACTTGCTGACTTGTGATCTGTTTGGGAGAGTCGCTAGTTCCACAGACATTTTGGGGTTGTTGCCAATAATGACACAAAGCAACCTTTTGAGCAAACGCCCCAAATAAAAACCTGTATCAGGATTCCAGAAAGGTGACTCAGAATAAGAAGATGCTCATTCATGATTAATATTGAAAGAAAAAGTGGATGTAGCGCCATGTTTTCAACTGTGAGCTCCAACACTGCAGGATTGTCCTGAGAGCATTGAGCGACACAAAGGCTGGTGATGGACAGTGACTCGTAAGAATAACAAAGCAGGGGAGCCTACGTGCAGGAGGGCCCAGACCGAGTCCCATGGTTTAATTCAGAGCAGGAGAACATGAGCTGCCAGTGGACTCACGGGAAATTGCCCCGGGGTTTTAGTACAGGTGCTGTCAGGTGCATGTGAGGTCAACACTCATAGCGTTGATTTAAAAGTGATTCGTAGCTTGTAATCATAGTGAAGAATTCAGTAGCTACACAGCCAGATTTCCCCTCAAGGGTTAGAGAACACTTAACCTTAAAGAGAGTTAATATTGTGCTTAAATTCATCAGGCAGACAGAGACATGACTCCATATAAATGCCAATGTTTAGCCAAATCTGCCGAATGTGCTAACAGACTGTAACAAGTTTGACAAAACAAGTTAGTCAGGTGATAATGTTTTGTGTACTGTTTGTGATGCCTGCAGGGACCAAGCTATCTGTGAATGCATTTTATGTTCAAGGCCTCTAAACAATAAAAAAAAACATGTATTTTTACAAGAATAGTCTAAGATTTTTTGAAATACACTAATAATAATAATAACTGCAATACATTTAGAGCCAATTTGCCTTAAGCTTAGCTTAGCTTAGTTTAGCATAACGAACTGAATCTCTGTCCAAAAGTAAACCTCCTTTAAACAAAAGAGATATAAATAGTTAATTAGTGGACTTCAGAGGTACTGGTAGTGGATTTTATTACATTCAGACTGAGCCACTTTAGTTTCCAAACGTATTGCTAAGCTAAACTACGCCTCTGTCTGTAGCTTCATCTTTACGGTACAAACAATATCATATATTATTATATATAAAAACTCTTAAAAAGAAAGCAAATAAGTTTCCAAAATGACAAACTATTTATGTCATAAATAACTTCTAGGATTCATGGTTGGTGAACTTTGTTTAATCTTTTGACAGAGCCAGAAGCTGTATCCCCCTCTATTGCTTTTATGTCAAGCTATTTTTGTTGTCCTCTGGCTTTAGCACTATGCGTGAGAGTAATATCAATCGTCCTATCTAACTCACAGCAATAAAGGAAATACGCACACTTCCCAAACCGTAAAAAAAATATATTATTTAATCCACTCAATGCTTGTTTCGATAAGATTCTTTTTGGCTGCAGGCCTGGAAGCGTATGGATGAAAGAGGATTCCTTTGTGAATCGGGAAATACATTTTCCATGTGTTGGCAAAGTGTAGTAACGTTTCCAACAGTACATCATTTCATGCAAAGGCTTTCTATAAACAGGACAACATTTGGACTCCTTGTGGCTGGCATCCTGAGCGTTTGATTTAGTGCACAATACTATCCCTCAGAACCTTTGCACAAGTCTTTGTTCCAGAAAATGTCTGTTATTGTTTTGTTGGGCTTTCAAAGGATTTGCATGTTAGAACCAAACAAAATAAACTATTCCGTAATGTGTCATTTCCACCCCTTAATGTCCCCTTGCTGCTGCTGTTGTATGAATGCAGGCATTCTTCTTCCTTTACACCCATGGTTATTTTCTTTCCGTTTTCATATGCTTCAACCACTTGTAACCAAATGCATGGGCATCATTAAAAAAGTTATTGTGTATTGGATAAAGTGATAAGTGTATGCGTATCTTAAAATGTATGTTAAAGAAAGTTTTTTTCCTATTACTGTAAGTGAATAATTTGGTAAGTAAATGGAATGAAAAAAAGGGAATCCTAGAAATATTGTTGAGAAAATATGACACTTGTTTAAGAACAATCTTATTGCTGTGTCATTTGTTTTAAATTCTTAATTTAATGCATTTTGTGTGAAACCAATGTAGTCAGTTTGTGGCTCACACTTCCTTTGCGTTTCCCTATAATTATGTTCACAAGGTTTCAAAGGCAGAAGATAAAATACAATGGGAAACATTTTTGTCAAATTCTACCCTTTACCCTCCCTCTTCTCTGGTCTCTCCAACACTGTACAAACACGTGCATTTCCCATAATTATTTTCTTAAATGTTTTACATCCAGTCAGACCGGACACCTCCCCTCAATCCCAAACAAAAGGTAGCGCGTAGTTTTCATTTTTAAAATTTCTTTTTTCAAGCTTTTGGTAACAAACATCCCAGATCACAGCACAGGGGTTGTATGGAGGGTATACATGTCATGTCACCAACATGGTTTAAAGATCATTAGATCACACATGTAGATGTTTTCAAAAAACAGCTTTCAAATTAAAGTAAAACACTCAAAATGTTCTTAAAATCAACGTATTAAACATAAGACCATTGGGTTGCATATGGGACTGCACAAATTCGCTTAGAAGTTAAATGATAATGGAAAGGACAGACATTGCATTACATGAAGACACTTGTTTATACACACTCAATAACATGTTGTAAATTAGGTAATGACAAAACAGTTTTTTACCTCATTTGTCAGATATCATTTGAACCTGTTTAACGTCGGGCAGTGGGGCTCAGTCCATACTGCAAGGTCACTGGTTCAAGTCCCACAACGATCAAGTAATTCTGAGGGGCCCCCTGAGCAAGGCAACAATACAATGATCAGACTCTGATTAATTGGACAGGTATTGTACAAGGAATTCGACGTTGCTATCAATGTACTTACACAACATTAGACATAACAACTACAGTGAAAAAGGGGACAACAGTGCAAATAAATAAAGTCAAGGATAGACAGGACTTGTATAAACAAACATTTGGTGATTTAAAAAATGTTATTAAAAAAATTAACAAAAACCACAATGACATTCAATTCTGCACACAAGTTAAGATTTATGCAAGTTTATAACAATACAAAAACACAAATATTGAAAGGATAATCTACAGTGCATGCATTCATAATAGCCTCTATAATAACAGTAACACACTTCATTCTGCTGCATATGTAGCTAAGTAGCCTACTTTTGATACTTTAAGTAGATTTAGCTGGTAACACTGTACTTATTCTTAGGGTTTGAATGCAGGACTTTTATTTCTAGCTGCGTATTTTTTGTATCTCTGCTTTTATTTAGGTATGGGATCTGAATACTTCCTCCCATGGCTGGCAGGCTTGGTGTGTGTCTAAAGGGAAAGCCTCTCATTGGCTCCTTAGGAGGATGGGCCTCTATCGGGCACATCCCACTAAACATTGCGTCAGCTATAATATATGAAGCGTAACTGGCCTCTGGCTCCAGAGATCTGTTGCCGGACAAGGCGGTATTTCTTCGGCTGCCCTAACACCAACATCCTGGAAGACTTTACTCATGTGAAATGGTGAGATAGAGCTGAAGGACCCGCGACACAAACTGCACTACGCGGGAGAAACTCAAGCTGGTGCCCGGCTTTTTACAGAGAATCCCCCACACAAAAGACTTGACCCATTTCTCTTTAAAGAACACTCAACCGAACTTTGTGATTTCAACTGAGCAAAATAGCCTTCAACATTACAAACTTCTGAGCAAAACCCACCGGGAGACCCCGAGGACTTCCCTCCATCGCCTTCAACTTTAACAAAAGACAAAGAATACGAAGAATATCTCCCACTCATCGCAGCCATGGACTCAGGAAAGGTAATAACACACTGTGACTCAGTTCACTTCATGAAGCTTTAACATTGAAATCCAGTCAAACCGGTTCCATGTGTGTTTTTTGTCTTAGCTCTGTGCTGTCAATGTTACCAAAGGGACCCATGAGTTCAGTGAGTTGTTCACTATATTTTAACCCATTGAGGCACTTCCACGTGTGCCACCACCGAGAGACACAATGCAGCTAATGTTTATGTCATGTATTACGTCGACGTCGACGTTTTATTTTGGGCACTTTTATGTTCATTACTATACACTAAAGTAGACCAGTTCGTCTCTGCACCCAAAATCAACCTTAAGTCGCTTTATATTTAATGTTCCCTTTATTTTTGCATCAAAAAATCAACAGTTTGTGAGCTTTGTTATATTTTCTAAGGATGATTTCTTGTCTCGCGTGTTTCCTGCGTAGTGTTGGTGTGATGAAGTATTATGTCACTTAGGGAAAAAAGGTTACAAGTTTATAAGCGCTATTTATACCCACGAGTAGGGATGGGTATCGTTAGGATTTTATCGATACCAATACCGATAGGCTACTGCTTATCGATACCGGTATTTTTCGATACTTTTCAATAATTTGGTGCTCAAAATTATAGACATGATCACAGGATGTGAAGATTAAACAACAGTCATTTTATTGTAATTAATTTGTATTTAATGCAACTTTTTCAATGTCATACCAAGCAGGTATGAGTGTGTTTGACAGTGCGTCTCTGGAAGGGGGGCGGTAATTAGGCAATAGTATGTCCATGTAAACATGACAATTATTCAGTTAAAACCATAGGTTAAAAACCATAGGTTAAAACGAGACGCTGCGTGCGCACCTCCTAAACCGGAAGCTCCGGTGTTCGAGTTTAACTGTTTTTTTTTATTAACTGTTTAATATTAAAGACTACACACACATGTATCCCTCTTTATAAAAATGGTATACTGCAGAACTTATCCGGATAAGATGTGACTAGAATACATATAAATGTATTCTAGTGCACACATAAAGTTCCAATATGCAAATCAGGCCATGTGTTTCGTTATGTAATACTAGGTATAATCATCACCGACAGGTGGAAAGACAACAATAACAAGGAATTCATATTAATATTACCAAGTTACACAGGAATAGATACAAAAAATATAAGAACAAAGATAAAAGCATACACGTTAAGATAGAAACGATGCTCACATGCAGTGTAACAATTATGAATATATGTGTTTGTAGTTCTCAACGTATGTGAGTATCCTCGTCATTGGGTATGTGTCGATGCATAACGAAAGTTAACCAAGTAAACAGTCACATCTTATCTGGATAAGTGCTGCAAAGTTATAAGGGATAAACGTGTGTGTAGTCTTTTATATTAAACATGATCGCTGGTAGATAGCCACAGAAGTCGGATCACAGTTTCACCTGAGCGGATCACAGCTTACCACAGCTGAAGACTTCACGCTGCTTTCAAATTGTGAGTAAACAACGTACGCTTCACTTGGAGGCTGTATGAAGGTGTACACAGGTCTCAGATGGACTTGGTATCACATTACGAACAATATTCAGTAATAAGTCTGGCAACAATAGCTGGTTTAAATGATTTATTCAAGCTCACAATGTTTTAAATAGACATCCCCAGTCACCTCGTTTGTCTTTTTGTAGTCCTCGCTGTACGCGTCTAGATATCGCCATCGTAACCACAACCTTACACACTGGTACTGAATGTGCATCAAAGTGTTCCTATGAAGCCAAATATACCAACAGATGTATGTCAACGACAGAAGAAGTGATCGAAATTAAAAACACACAAACATAATATGTAGTTCTTAAGTAATACATCCAGCATCCTTTTATTACTTGATCAATCAATCAATCACTAACTTAATCCAAACCTAGTATCAGTTGTACACTGTGATGCAGTTATTCAGAAAGTAGATTTATCTAGTGTTTGTTAACACTGTCTTCGTTCTTGTAGTGCCAGTTACACACACACACAGACGCTCTGCACAGTGAAATCTACTAAAAACGTCCCCCTTCTTTGATGTAAGACAAGTTTAATGCAGTGGGGCAGCCCAGACTGACATTGTGGTCAGAACATGTTTCTGTAGCTGTCGCCAAAGAGCAAACTTTGCCTGTTCAGACCTTTCAGCTGGTCGGGGTCTGTTGAGGACGTGATGGGAACGGTTCTCCGTTCCCAGTTTCCACTGTGACACCGACACAGCAGATTTCCACAGAGAGTGAGACTTGGCCGAGGGAATAAGCGGTTGCCAACCCTGGGGTGTTGCTAAGTTGTCCCTCTCGTTCCCAGGCTCGTTGCTTCACTCCCTCTGTTGAAGCTTCCAGAATGGTTGAGCTGTTCTTTTGCAAGGCTGTAGTGAAAAAGCAGTTTAGCACAGGCTAATTAACATCTTGTGCACAGGATTTTCATACCTGGCTGGTACTTAGTGTTGTGCCTTGTTATGTGTGGCATACCCTCAAGTACATGGAAACTTTGACTCAAGTTGGTAAAAAAGCATTGTGTAGGAAGTGTCGGTTTCATTTCCGTGAAAGTGGCCCAGGTGCAGTGTAAATGCTGTGTCTGTCACCGGTGGTTTCAGTAAGATGTCATGCCATTGATGTCACGTAGGCCATGTTATGAACTGTACATTTGAACACTGTAGATGTTTAAATTATCACAACTTAATATGTATATGTTATCTTAATTACCACCACCTGTTTGGTTTGTTTGTTGTCGCTGGGATTACAGATAATCTACTGCCTACATTTTTTTAAAACTTGGTGAAAATGATGTAAAATGTGCAAGAATAAACCCATCTTATTTAGTAGTGGATACACATTGTGGAGCGGATACCGAATTTAATTTAGTTACTTTAGTTAAAGTTGCGAGATAGGCCGTTTGGTATTAGCAGAGATTGGCGCCCCCCGTGCCCTTTTTAGTTTTAAGTATATTTTTTGGCTTGCTTTTCAATCTAATTCATTGAGTGCAGCTTTGTTCCAATTCTCACGCAATTGCCTGCTTCGCCATGTAGTCACGCAATGCTAATGACCTCACATTGTTGGCCAAATAAGAGCTTTATTTTCAACAACAGTAAGCTCACGTCAGTCTTCTTGTTTTCTTCGACAAAGAATGGATATTCTAATTGGGGACAAGCATACAGTTGACCTGCTGTGTTTGAAGGAAACAGCCACTAAACATTGTTTTCTCAGACAGACTTGACCGTGCAGGTATTTTGATTGGGAGTCAAGCCTCACATTGTACAGACCTAATTGCACAAGCTTAATTCCTCTCCATCTTGCGCCTTTTAGCCGTGTGCCAACTCTTGCCTTCTTAAGACAGTCCAGTAGATTTACTTTTGTCTGCATGACTTGCTCCCTTCAGTACGTTTTATAGTGTAACTGTCAGCCATGTTCTAATAAGGCTTAATGAGGCTCTGCTGCAAAGTTTTGATTAAGAGTTCTAGGAAGGTTTTAATTGAGATGAAAGACCGATTACATTTGATTCACTTTGCTGAGAAACTGGATAATTTTCTGCACACTGTACTGATCACTGTTCACAGAGAGAAAATGGTTGTATACAATAGTTAATTCAGCGCCTATCTGTGTCTCACTGGAATATTGACTTCTTCTTATTAATGTGCTACAGAATAAACCAACTTGTATTGATACAACAAACCATCAAAAATCCATATAAGCCGTCTCTTGTCTCTATGACATAAATCTAATATACAATAGTACATTTGTTTATATGAGCCAAACTAGCATTTGTGAAAACATTCTTATCGGGTCTCACTGTGACGGGCTGGAGCTTCACTGGCCCTGACGGATAAGGCTTTAAAACAGTATGTGCAGCTCATACAGATAAATAAGCACCATTCCAAAAAAAAAAAAAAAAAATTCTGCAGGTCAAGCATGCAGATGATACTGTCTCATTGTTTTACACGGTTTAAATAAAGGTTAATAATAAATAGGAATTCCAGGATACTAAGACAATCACATGGCACATATTCAAGTCTGTGTCATTTTGCATATTTGTTTGATATGCTAGGCGATTTTCATAGGCAAATGTGCCCATCCCTTTTACATTACATTACATTACATGTCACTTGTTAGACGCTTTTATCCAAAGCGACTCACATACTCAACACTGTGGATAATCCCCACAGGAGCAATCTGGGGTGAAGTGTCTCAGGGACACAACGACATGCTGACTGCAGTGGGGTTTGAACCTGTGACCCCCTGATCCGAACACCAATGCACAACCCACTGCGCCACACGCCTCCCTTTTAAATTATTTAATGATACATCATGTTTTCTGCCCATTTATTTAGTGACTTCAACATCACACAAGGAGTCTGTGTACACACATTATACACACACAAGAGCAATGACAATAATAGGACGGAGTAAACTGGTTTCATAAATCACATAGCAACCACAGCAAAACACCTAGTAAAGTAACTTGTTCAATATAAAGTGTTTCAAAGTACACTAAGATTTGCCTGAAAAATAGCATTTTAGGCCTAGAAAAACGTAAACTAAATGACTCATTGTATCACAGCTTTAAATGCATCGACAGCAGTGTCAACCAGTTTATGCCTATTCGGTTTAAAGATACATCCATCTACATTAAAGTACTGCTAATAGATGTTTGGAAACGAACCCCACTGCCCAAGCATGAGGAGGCTTTAGTGCTGAGCTGAGGAGTGGAGGCGAGGACAGCGCTCCTTAGGTTTCCCACAGCTGTGTAACCTGAGACTGTGGAGGTGACACACACAGGGGGACGTGACAGCATCAGCGTAGGCCATCACAAAGAATCCAGTTCACTCTGGCATGGAGGAAGTGAGCTGAGCCAAATGACTGCTTCTGCTTTAAAACACCGCTCAAATCTAAGTAAAACCTTTGTTAAAGATAGGTGTGATGACTAACTTACAACAAGGTAAAAGGAAATCCGGAGGAACAAGTTTGACTATTTGTTTCCGGTTGGCTTCAAAAGAAGAAGCAAAGAAAA